CACACACACACACACACACACACACAGTGGGTGCGAGTTCACTTGTAAGAGAATTAAACTTCACAGGATTGTGAGATGTGTGGTTAATCTGTCAGCCAGGCTTCAGGATGGTCAGAAGGAAACCCCCTTTAAATCTCCCTTCTCTAAGCCTCTCTATTAAAAAAAAAAACACATTTTACTAACAGACAACAGTCAAAACTGCCCCCAACCTTTCTTGTCTTCAACAGAACATCTGTTTGCATGTTGGACTCGGGGGATGGTGGTTCTCTGTAGCTGTGAAACTAAAGCATCCCATTTTCAGACTTTGATGTAGACACAATCCTACTTTGTGTTGAATTATGAAAAATAAAATACTCCCAACAAATAGAAGTTGCTGGATCCTCCGTACATTTTGTTTTACTGATCAACTGAATACAAACCACTGACATAGGTTTTTGTTTGAGTGACATTACAGGATTATGAACTTTAGCCACATTTGTAGACTGAACAGTGATGAAAGAACAAAACAGATTTAAACAGTTTCAGCTCTGCATGTTCTCCTGTTTCTAACATTTTTGTAGTTTCACAGGGAAGCTGGAGTAAGAAAGAAACTTTTTAACACTTGTTTGTGATCACTGACAGCTTTCTGTGATGCTGGTTAGGCAATGCTGGAGAATGTTTGATGATGTGAAAGTAGCAGTAAGAAAAATCTACTTCTCAGATGCAACCACAAAAACAGGAAGTCCTCTGTGTGTTTTTAGACATTTGACATTTTCCTGTTTTACATTTAGCTTTTAGCATTCAGAGTAGATGCAGCCGGTATTAAAATATCAGGTTTTGTTCCTCAGTTAAATCACAAATAATGCATTTTATTTACCCTGGTAGTCAGAACCTGTATTTGGGATTGATGTTAACTTTTTTTCAATTGCAAATCTGAAAACCAGTAGGATTAACAAATCGTTGCGCTCAGTGACCAGGCTTAGCAGTACAAGTTAATAACAATGGTTTTCTCTGCATTTTTTTGCAGCAACATGTTCATGATGGTGGCTGCCAGAAACGTGTGTGTGGCTAAACTGAGGTAACACACAGAAGCAAAAATAAAGTGTTTTTCTGCAGCTGTCACAACTTTTCTTGCACAAGTCGACCAGACAAAACATTTCATAGTTTTTATTTATAGTTTTATATTCAGAGGCATTGTGGGTAGAGGACAGGTTTATCTGTTAAAACAAACCCACATCGCTATTAAATATGATGGATATGACAGCACTTTTCTACTTATCTGATGTTTTTTTTTTTTTTTTTTTTGGAAATTCTGGAAGCGAAAACACCGGATGAGGTGAAATGTTGGAATCAGTGTACTGTAGGACTTTTTACAAGCAGGGAGTCTATAATAGTAAGTGCAATTTTTATGTTTTTATTTGTAAAAGTATAATTCTGAAACTATGACAACTTCATTTTTAACATGGTTTTGATTGGAATAATTTCATACATTCGCCAATAAAATATAATTACAGCTTTCATTGTTTATTCTTTCAATTCAGTTTGAATTTTAAGCTTCTCTTCTGCTCTCACCCATATAGATGAACTGAGCTACAAGATATTCAAAATGTTTGATTATTGTTGGGCTAACTGGTACTCATGACCTACTTTATGAAACGATCCAGCAGTAAGTTGGACTTGTGTCCATGTTAGTATCTACATAACAATAAATACTCTTAACTGTGGCAAGAAAAACACTGCCAAAACCAGCTGAAAGATATTTATGAAAAATTTCGTCTATGATCTGAAAGGAAAGTTTTACACGGATCAGCTTAGAGCAAATACATCAGGTCTGTATAACAGGATCAATTTATTGGTTGCATTGGTTCAATTCCAGTAACGATTCCATAGTGTGACCTCTGACCACTGTGGCCAACTACGAAATGGTTTATTGGAGGTTGAGGCTGGGCAGAAGTCTTTGACTTTGAGAAAGAATTTATTTTATTTTTTTTTACAACTGGAACTTCAAATTCTGACTTCCACATCATTAATATTGTTTGGGTTGTTTATTATCTGGATGTGTGTGTGTGTGTGTCCAGTCTTTTAGCAAAGTCTCTCACGAAGCAGTGGACAGCAATGAAACTCTCAGAAAGTAATTAATTAATGTTCAGCTGATTAAACTTAAACACAGGAAACCTGGAGTAAGAAAGAAACCTCCACTTGAGTCTCTGCCTCAAGTGGAGTTTAAGTATCTGGGTGTCTTGAGTGATGTAGGATGGAGCAGGAGATGGATCGACGGATTGGGGCCTCGTCCTCAGTAATGAGGGTGTTGCTTCGGTCGGTTGTGTGAAAGATCTGAGTCGAAAGGCAAAGCTCTCGGTTTACTGGTCTGTCTTCGTTCCAACCCTCACCTATGGTCAAGAGGCGTGGATCATGACCGAAAGAACCAGATCCCGGATACAAGTGACCAAAATTAGCTTCCTGGCTGGGCTCAGCCTTAGAGATAGGGTGAGGAGCTCCATCATCTGGGGGGAGCTCGGAGTAGAGCTGCTGCTTCTCCACATCAAAAGGAGCCAGTTGAGGTGGTTTGGGCATCTGATTAGGATGCCTCCTGGACGCCTCCCTTTAGAGGTGTTCTTAGCATGGCTTACTGGTAGGAGGCCCCGGGGAGGACCCAGGACTCGCTGGAGGGACTATGTATCCTCTCTGGCCTGGGAACACCTCAGGGTCCCACAGGACAAGCTGGAAAGTGTCGCTGGGGAGAGGAATGTCTGGGTTTCTCTCCTGGACCTGTTGCCTCCGTGACCCAACTACAGATAAGCAGAAGAAGATGGAGATGATTAAACGTTGAAATCAGCCTGATTCAAAACAGCCTCTACATATAATCACCTTCACAAACACAACAAATGTTGTAACTCAGTTTTACAGACACTGAGCTCAGATTTGGTGGTATAGTTGAGAGTGATTCCCAAAACATAATCTGACAGTGAATATGTTTCTAGGCATTTTTATTTAAAACCTTTGCATTATTTGATAAACATTTACTTAAACTGTAAAACAAAGACTGTAAGATTTAGGCTGTTCAGTTTAAATTAAAAAAATATATCGTCAAACGGAAAGCGCCACTTTATTAACACCACAAAGCACACTGGATAAATGATGACGTTAGGTTTCAGTGCAAGGCTGTGTGAGCTCTTATCCATCCTAGAGGTTAATCTTAGACAATATCTGACAATCGGTCTCTTTAAAATTAAACCAGAACCTTGACAGAGAGGAATGTAGAAATGACTCAATCTGAAACTGAAAATGTGGATGAAGGACGACAAAAATTTTAGAAAACATCTTCATTTATCCAGTATGCTTTGCGGCGTCAGTAAAATGGGGCTGACTGTGTGACAATGTTTTTTACATTTTATCACTGCAAAACATGTCCACCTAACTAAGTTTTAAAATCTTATATCCGCCAAAAAGTCTTTTTGATCTGGTTTTGAGACTGATTTACTAAACAGGAACTGATTGTGTAAGAATAATCATCTTGTTTTCAGAATGTGTAAGATTATTTGTCTTGTTAGTCTGAAAATTTGAC